GGGGGAACCCGGAATAGCGGCAGTGCCTAAACGGCACTGTACAATGGACTGACTTCAGTCTCGCACAAAGGTCTCTGTTAGGGCCCCGGTCAGTTCACTCGATGCTTGACTAGAAAACTGGGGGCATGAGGCCAGCAGGGGGCATATAGTAGTTAAGGCCCTGGACTCCCACATGGCTGGCTATGGTTTGAGTCCTATACCTGACAGCTTGCTTTCTTGTTTTCTCTCTTTATAGAAAATTAAATAATAATAAATACAATTAAATAAATAATTCTTTTTTAAAAATGGGGATGGGGAGGGTGTTTGTTTTCAGGGTTACCGTGAGGCTTAACTACAGTATTGCTCACGGGGTGCCCCACACCGCAACTGGCCCAAGCAGGAACCCAACAAATCATGTTTCTTCTCTTTCTTTCCATTCATTTCTGAGCCTGTCAAGGGTTGAAGGAGGCCCCTGTTCAGGGGAGGGCAGAGCAAGCCTTTGTCTATAGAACACAGAAACCTCAGAGAAAACCCAGATGACCAAGTATCTGTTTCCGCCCGGCGTGGATGCCACAGGCTGGGCGCCCCCGCCCAGGAGGTCAGCGGAGCTCGGGAGCTCTGTAAAGCCAGTGGCCACGTCCTCCTTGCTTCCTGACCTGTGTTTCTGTGTCGCTGCGGTAACTGGAGTCCTAGTGTCGTTAACCCACATGCCCACCGCCGAGACAGGGTGGGGAAGGACAGTCGCACGCTGTCCCCGATCCCCACTGCACTGTGCTGGCTCTCCGGTGACTTCAGATGGGAAGCAGAGCAGTTCAGCCACTAGCTGCTCCAGGCGGGAGTCCGGGCTGAGTGCGCTTACGGGAGGAGCTAACACACAGGATGCCAGGGTTCAGAGAGTCGAGGGTCTTCACGCATCCAGGGGCCACCCCGCCAGAAGCCTTTGTGCACCCCCCTGCCAGGAGCTGGGCAGCCCTCTGCCGGACAAGCTCAGAGGGAGGGTGGCTCTAACACGGCCAGGCCACTGTACCTGAGGCCTTTTTTTGTTACTATTGTTTATCTATTTTAAAGAGTTTTGCTATAGGGCCCATGAGCTCATCGGAGAGACAGAGGCAGACAGAAAGGAGGAAGTTACCTCCTGGGAAACGACCACAGCATAGTCTGTTCTCCTCCAGTTGCCTCTCAGGATCTCGGGAACACACACACATGTGCCTGGCATGAGTTTTAAGCTGCTCAGTCTAGGACTCAAATCACAGTCCACTATGTAGGAGTCCAGCAATGTAACCACTATGCCATCTGGTATTATTACTTTTTAAAGAATTATTTATTGGCCAGCAGGTGGCATGGTGGTTAAGGTACTAGGTTCCCATATGGCCGAGAGCAGTTCGAGTCCTGGACCCAGCAGTTTAAGAAGCACACCTGGCTCATGTGCATGAATGCCCAAAATCCCAGGAGGAGAATAGATTGTGGCATGGCTGTCCACCTGAGGGTGATTTCTCACTTTCCCTCTCCATGTTTCACTTTGATGAGCAGATGCACCCTATAGAAAAACTTTTTTTTTTTTTTTTGTTTTAGGGCGTGTTGACTTGCCAAAACGACAGAGAGACAGAAAGCGAGAAATCACGCCCAGAGGGGAGGGCCACGCTGCAATCCCTTCTCCTCCATTCTCCTCTTGGGATCTTGGGCACGCATGCACACGCGCCCGGCGTGAGTTTAAGCCACCGGGTCTGGGACTTGAACCGCGGTTGGCTACATGGGAGTTCAGTGACATAGCCATTATGCTAAATGCAGGTTCCCAAAAACATTTTATAAAAAAAGAATTTTTTATTTTTTATTTTATTATTTATTTATTAGATATTTTTGCTATAGGGCATATGCGTTCACCAGAGAAACAGGGGAATGACAAAAAGTGAGAAATCACCCCTCAGGGGTTGGCCACGCCACAATCCCTTCTCTTCCATTCTGCTCTCGGAATTTCGGCCACATATGCACACATGCCCTGCATGAGTTTCAAGCCACCAGGTCGGGGACTCAAACTGTGGTCAGCCATGTGCAAATCCAGGGATGTAACCGCTACACCACCAACTAGCACCAAGGATTTATTAATTTCTTTTTGTTTATTATTATTATTATTTTTTAAATTTTGCTATAGGGCACATGCACTCTCTAGGGAGAGACAGAGAGAGAAAGAGAAAGCAAGAAAGCAAGCTGCCAGGTCTGAGACTTGAACTGTGGTTGACCATGTGGGAGTCCAGTGCCTTAACCATCAAGTGTCTTATTCACGCCACCTGCTCCTGCCATCCTGAGGCCTTTTAAGGTGGACGCTTTTCCCGGGAAGAATCCCCTTGCTTTTTGCATGGCACGCCCTTGCAGAAGTCTGTAAGCAGCAGGCCCTGTCCTGGGCTCTGTTCAGTTGAGCAGTGACAAGGCTTCGCCCCAGGGCGAGACCCTCTGTCGTCCAGGGAGCAGGGCGGAGGCTGGTACAGACTCCACGACCACCCATACTTCCTGTGCACCGGACAGGAGCTGGGTGGACAGGAGCTGGGCGGCAGGGGCAGAAGAACTGGGTGGTCCTGGGGAGATTTATGGCCTGGGGCTTGGGGGAGTGAGGGACAGGGCGAGGATGACCAGCCACCGGCTCCATGCTGACAGGACAGTACGTCCAAGGAAGCGGGCAGAGCTGGGTGTGCAGAGGCGCAGGTTCAGTTTTACACCTGTTTGGTCTCAGGCCCCAGTGGGAAGGTCCCATAGGCAGCTGAGCAGCGTCTGGACTGGAGACTCAGATTCAGGAGTTGGCAACACCTGTGGTCGAGAAAGGCGGAAGGGGACGAGACAGCTGGGGTGGGGGAAGACTGGCCTGGCCTGTAAAGACTCTGCATTCCAGGGTGGAAGGAAGAAGGGCCGCCAGTCTAAAGGAGGGGTTCGAGGACATGAGGGGCCGTCTGTCACACCTGTGGGGCAGCTTCCCTGGGAAGCGTCTGCAGTGCGCTCTAAGCCAGGGTGGGGCTCCTTAACCCTTTGTGCACCAGCCCCGTCACCACCTTCACAGCTTTGGGGATCTAGGACCTCAGCCGATGGGAAGCCAGCAGGGGGGGTGTGCTGAGGACAGGTTTCAGACCATTCTTCTAGACTGAGATGCTTCCTAAGGGCCCTGGGAGAGTCACACCTGTAACATGGACCCTCCTATAACAGGCCACTTCGGTGTGGTGGCCGTGGGCAGCTTCCTGTCCTGCCCCGCATGGCACCGTCAGACACAGAGCAAGGCCCTAGATCTACAGTCAGGTCTTTCAGACAATGCTTGCACATTTTACAATGACTAACGTAGAACTTTCTAAAGTCACCCTTAACCTACCTACAAGCCCCCCCCCCCAAGTCTCGCCTTTGTGGGCCAGGCCAATGAGGAGACTCCTGAGGCTGATTCACAACTCTGTGCCCGTCTCCTGCTCTCAGAACTGAATGAAAGAATTGCTACATCTTCTGTGCTTCTCTGGGTCTGGTCACTCAAAGTCGTGCTTAGCGGGACCAGCAGGTAGCATAATGGCTATGTCACTGGACTCCCATGTAGTCGACCATGGTTCGAGTCCCAGACCCGGTGGCTTAAACTCATGCCAGGCACATGTGTGTGTGCATGCCCTAGATCCCAAGAGGAGAATGGAGGAGAAGGGATTGCGGTGTGGCCATCCCTCCTGGGGAGGGTGATTTCTCGCTTTCTGTCTCTCTGTCTCTGTCTGTCTGGTGAACACATGCACCCTATAGCAAAAACCTCTCCAAAAAAAGTCATGCTTAGGATGAACCACATTTATTATTATTATTATTATTATTATTATTATTATTATTTTTAGAGAGCTTTTGCTAAAAAGCTCACCAGAGAGAGAGACAGGAAGAAAGTGAGATATCATTCCCCAAGAGGGGTGGCAGCGCTGCAATCCCTTCTCCTCCACCCTCCTCTCGGGATTTGGGGCATGTATGCACACACATCTGATGTAAGTTTCAAGCCTCCGGGTCTGGGACTTGAACTGTGGCCGACCACATGAGAATCCAGTGCCTTAACCACTGTGCCACCTGCTGGCCCCAACATGTTAATTATTATTTCTACAGAGCTTGGCTGTTTCCGTTAGCGCTAGTCCCCCTTGGTTTGGGAGGAGTGCTAGGATGTGAGGTTGGGCTCGGATGCAGGCATTTGTAACCGTGGAGGAAGCCCGGAGGAAGCCCAGAGTTGCCGCATTCACTCGGAGTGAGCCCGAGGGTGAGCCTAAATGGCAGAGGGCGGGAGGGAGAAACCAGGCTTCGAGATGCTTGAGCCTGTAGATCAAGCTGCCCCTGAAGCCAGCCCTACCTCTAGACTTTCAGTTATGCAAAGCCGTAATCTCCCTCTGCTCTTACGCGTTTGGAGCTGAGGCTGTTTTACTACTTGCGATACGAAGAGTCCTACTTACTGCACAGGCTGAGGGAGAGACCTCCCAGGTCAGCGGGTGAAACAGCACGGAAGAGGTGGTGTCAGGATCTCAGAAACGCTGACACTTCGGTGACCCGAATCACTGTCACCTATAGAGCCAGTGGAGTTTGTTTCCTGTTTTGCGATCTCTTTATAATTTTTTTTCCCTCTCCTTCTGTATCATCCCCCGACAGTACAATTAACTCGACTCTAAACGTGCTTCCTCGCTAAGGAGGAGAGGCGGTTGGGAAATAGGTCAGACTCATCCTTATGATGCCTGCCCAGGTGCCGAAGCCCCGCCTTCCTAGTCCAGGCTCAGTGGTGGGGCCCCGGGGCACCCTCAGCCTCTCCCCACTCCCACACTGGCCACGCGGGCTCTCTGAAATGCACACGCCAGCTCTAAGGCTCCAACACTCCCTATGACCTGCAGGAAGAAGACGCAGGGCCCCTGGGGTCGCCTCCATGTTCCAGATCCTGGTTCTCAGGAGCCTTTCTGGTTTGACCTGCATGAGGGGGCCGCTCTCCTCGTACCCCGCGCCTGCATTGCGGCTTCTCAAGGTCGTTAACAACGGCACACAACGCTTTCCCCGGTGTGGCCCGTGTTCCAGGCCCTGCGCTAAACCCTGAACGTGGATGGTCTGGGTTAACCCTCACGGCTCCCCGAGAGGTGGTGCCAGCTTTGTCAGGGTCATTGACGCCTTCTCAGGGTCACCACAGTCTGACGGTCAGACCTGGGGCATGGGCTGGGTGGAGGGAGTGGAGGGCCACATAGTGGAGTGGGGAAATCTGAGTTCGGAGCCAGGGAGGAGTTGGCTCATGATACGACCAGGGGAGGCCTGGGTGGGCCTCTCTGATCAGGCCAGGGCAGGGCTCTCTGCTGCTCCACGGGAACCTCAGGGCTCGCTGAGTCCACACCACTGGGCCAGGCCTCCATCTGTGTCCACGCTGGGGCTCCAGACGGGCAATGCCTAGGATTTCCCAGTCCTGAAGGCTGCGGCTCGTCCATGTCCCTGCAGGTGACCCGAGGGGTCTGTGAGGGGCGGGTAGGAGGGTGAGAAGTATTATTTACTCTTAAGGGGGATGTATGTGTGACAAGTGGGCTTGGCCACCTGAGGGTGCTGGCTGGCCCCTCCCCTCCTTTTCTGGTTGGGAGAAGCTCCCAGATCTCATCTCCAGTTGCTTCCATCCCTCCCCTTCCGCACCCTCCTCTCAGATGATCCAGCCTAGTGTTCTCACAAAACAAAAGCCAGGAGAGGGGAGGAGGTGTCTTCTGGGGTGCTTGGCAACGCAGGTCACCCAGCAACAGAAAAGCCTAAGACAGAACTCCGGAGGCTGGGCTCCCTCCTGGGGGTGGGGAGACTGCTCAGTAGGAGGGCAAACCCAGGCAGGAGAAGCAGGGACTCCTCCAGCTCCACCCCCTCGGAGCATCATCGGTCAGTGACTCACCTCTGTGAGCCCCTCTGGGGTAAGCCGCAGAAGCAGGGATCCGCCCCTGTTTTCTTCCCTGTGGCCTTAGCACCCTGGACGGTCACCCGACCATGATGTCGCCTAACAGCGTGTCTCTCAGGGCACGTCCCGCCTGTAAGCAGCGGGTGACTATAAACGTGTAGGGTAAACACAACGGCCCTTCCCTAAGGAGGTACCAAGTGGCCCCAGAGCACCGGCGATGCTTCCCCTCATCTCCAGGGACCTTCAAATAGAACTGCGCTAGAACGTTCAAAAGGACCAAAGGCTGACAACATCAAGTGTGGGTGAGGATGTCGAGCACCTGGAATGCTCACGTCCTGCTGGGGAAGGGCACCCAGGCACAACCCCCCGGGAAAGCAGTATAGACATGTCACTTGTACCTACTCCAGAAACCAAAAGCCTAGATATATCTGACAGAAGTTTGTTTATAAAGGCACCAAAAGTAACGTACAAGATGTTCATAGTGGAGCTGCTTTCTTGTTTTGCCTTTTTTTTTTTTTTTTAATTTGCTGTAGGGCTTGTGTGCTTGCCTAGCGGCAGTGTGGGTGAGGGGAGAGAAACAGAAAGTGAGACGTCTTTC